CACAAGGCAGGGAAACCGCACAATTAAGTTCTAACAGTCTCTGCCATCCAGGCTACCCTGTAAAGACAAAGCACTAACCTGAGACCTTCGACTACTGCCAGGACCACCTGGAGATGGAAGGTCATGAAAGCCTCTTGCTGCTGAGCACTGGCCTCACACCTTGGAGAGGGCCCGGATTCCTCGCACTCAAGCATCTGTGTTTCCCTTAGATTGGAGAAATTAACCTGCTTTTCGTAAGCCCAGCTCTGCCATGTAATTCTTTTCCCGTCACAGAGCAGGAACCCACTAGCTGTGTAACTTTTCCATAGTCCACACTGTCCTTGAGTGATGCCTCTTTCTGGCCATATCCAGTTGGTATTCCTGGCCCTGTTCTTGGGGGTTACTCCCAGTCTGCTCTCAGGGGACCATGTGGTCATAGCGATCAAACCCAGGCCTCCAGCATGCAAAATATGCACTGTTTTGAGCTCTCTCTCCAGTGCCGTTAGTGGTAGCACTTTCATCATCAAGATTCCCTGGGATGCAAGGAAGAGAAGGGGCTGAAAGGCAGTTAAGAGATATGGATGAAACCATACTGGAACAGTGCTGTAAACCACAGTGACAAAAGTTACTTTTAAAAAAAGTGTCTCTCATTGAGGCAGGGGGTAGATGGGTGGGGAAGTGGGGGCCACTGGTGGAGGGAAGTGACAATGGGGAAGGGATCTCTGTTGAAACATTGTATTCCTGAAGCCCAATTATGAATAACTTTGCAATTTGTGTGAATCCATTTTTTAAAAATCTTTTCAAATCCCTGCGATGCTCATTTTTGCCAGTTTCTAGCCTGGATTAAGCAACCAGGAAACAGGGTGATTTAAATTATGAATTGACTCAGATTTCATAAACTCTCTCAAAGAACATCCTATGAATCCAGCTTCATAGTATCATTATTGATACATGTATCAGTCTCTAGAATCTTCTTACACTTAGCCAACCCTATGTTGCCTCAATATAGTAGATTTACAGAGGATGGGAAAACGGCTTTTAACATAAGTGGAAGACATATTGCTTTTCAGTTCTGCTTAGCTGTTACATTTCAATGGTTTGGGGACCACCTGGCAGTGCTCAGGGCTGGCTCCCAGCTCTGTGCTTAGGGGTCACTGCTGGTGGTGCTCTGGGATTGAACCTGGGGAGATTGAATCTGGGTCGGCTGCATACAAGGCAAGCATCTTAACCCCTGGACTATCCCTCCAATCCCCAGTTCTGCTTTTGATCTGTCTCACCATACAAAGTCTTCAGAGCATTATACTACATGTGTTACACTTAATTAAAAGGCAGTTTTAGAAAAATTTTCAATCACAGTCATGTACAGAGGTTCCAAACTTATCTGGCCTATTAACCCTCATTAAAAATATATATACAGGAGCTGGAGCAATAGCACAGTGGGTAGGGCATTTGCCTTGCATGCGGCCAACCCAGGTTCAATTCCCAGCATCCCATAAGTTCCCCCCAAGCACCATCAGAAGGGATTCCTGAGTGCAGAGCCAGAAGTAACCCCTGAGCATCGCCAGGTGTGACTCAAAAAGAAAAAAAAATATATAAAAGAAAAAATATATTTTCTTATATAAAATATAAGGGCTGGAGCGATAGCACAGCAGTAGGGCGTTTGCCTTACAAGCGGCCAACATGGCCAACCCGAGTTCGATTCCTCTGCCCCTCTTGGAGAGCTCGGCAAGCTACCGAGAGTACCTCACCCGCAGGGCAGAGCCTGGGCAAGCTACCCGTGATGTATTCGATATGCCAAACAGAGTAACAAGTCTCATGATGAAAACGTTACTGGGCCCGCTCAAGCAAATCGATGAACAACAGGAGGACCATGACCATGATAAAATACAAAATATATACTATATTAAATATATATATATTTGGGACCGGAGTGATAGTACAGCAGGTAGGACATTAACCTGGCACATGACCAAACTGGGTTCGATCTCCAGCATTCCATATGGTCCCCTGAACCCTGCCAGGAGTGATTCCTGAGCACAGAGCTAGGAATAACCTCTGAGTATCACCAGAAGTGTGACCCCCAACCCCCCCAAAAAATTAAAAACCTAAAAGAAATTAGTGACCCTCCCTAGAAATCTACCTTTTTAAAATGAACAAATAGAGGGGCCAGAGCAATAGTACAGCAGGTAAGATACAGCAGAAAGTACAGCTGGTAGAGCATTAGTCTTGCATGTGGCTCGCCCGGGTTCGATTCCTGGCATCCTATATCTAAGCTCTGCTAGGAGTAATTCCTTTTTGGGGAGGGAAAGTGGGGGTGTTTTTTGTTTGTTTGTTTGTTTGTTTGAGGGACATACCTGGTGATATTCAGGGATAATCCTGGCTCAGAGCTCAGGAAATTATTCCTGGTGGTGCTTTGAGGGATTATATGGGTTGTCAGAGATCAAATCCAGTTGGCCATGTGCAAGGCAAATAGCACAGCGGGTAGGGCGTTCGCCTTACAAGTGGCCAACACGGCCGACCCGAGTTCGATTCCTCCGCCCCTCTCGGAGAGCCCGGCAAGCTACCAAGAGTATTCGATATGCCAGACACAGTAACAACAAAGTCTCCAATGGAGACGTTACTGGGCCCGCTCGAGCAAATCGACGATCAACGGGAGGGCCTTTACCTTTACCTTACCTTTACTGTACTATCACTCTAGTCTCTGCTGGGAGTAATTCCTGAGCACAGAGCCAGGTGTAACTATTGAGCATCACCCAATCTGTCCCCAAAATAAACATAAATAAATAAACAAATTGAAAATGCTTCCATTTTCATCAGAAGTTTACTTTAAAAACTGGTTGAGGAAAACCTTGCCTAACTGCAGATAGTACTACTCATTTAATGTAATTAGCTCTTATTCACAACTTTTCAGCCAGCAGTCAGGAGACGGTGAGCCACCTGTAGTAAGGTCCCCATTCAGGAGTACAAAACTACAGAGCTGTGTCAGGACTAGCGGGTGTCTACTTGAATGACTGAGAGTAAATTCTAGAGCAGAGGGCAGTGTGGAATCCACTGTTCTAGAGATTGTTTGTCTGAAACTCTCCATTCACATAAGATGAAACTGAGATCCAGGCAAGTTAAGTGATTTTTCTCAAGGGGATGTAATAAACAGTGCTAGGATGAGAACCCAATTCTACTGATTCCTAATCCCAGTGCTCACTTGATCACTTGACTTCCCATTAATCGGCGATTTGCTCGAGCGGGCGCCAGTAACGTCTCCATTTGTCCCTGTCGTGTGCTAGTGTAGCCCAATGGCGTCTGTTTGTTCTAGAAACACGAAGAGCCTCAAACTAATCGTTCATGATCTTGATGAAGAAGTCTGACCATCTGGTAGGTGGGCGGCCACGCGGTCTTTTGACATCCCATGGAATCCAGTCGGTAACGGCTCTCGTCCAGCGGTCGTCTCTAAATCTCATTACGTGACCAGCCCATCTGATTTCTGACGTCTTGGTAAATGAGACAGCGTCCCTGATTCTTGATCGGTGACGGAGGTTGAAACTCCAGATTCTTTCTCTCATTTGAGTGAAACGTGATACTCCAAGCATAGCTCTTTCAATTCCTCTTTGGGAGACCCGTATAGCAATCTCATCCTGTTTGCATAGGGCCCAGGTCTCTGAGGCATATGTTAATGCAGGAAGAACAGTAGAATCAAAGAGATGTGCCCGGAGCCGGAGGTTCTTCATCCTCTTAGCTATTTCTTCGAGGCTCTTGAAGGCGTTCCAAGCCGCTCTCTTCCTCCTGCACAGCTCAGGTGCCAGGTCATTTGCCATGTTGACTTCTCGACCTAGGTACACATAACTGTTGCATTCAGAGGTGGTCATTTCGTTGAGAGCAAATGGAGCGTCAGGAACGAGGCTGTTTCTCATAAACGTCTTCATAAGATTCAGCTGTAGTCCTACCTTTCCACACTCATGGTCGAAGTCGGCCAGCATTTGTGCCGCTTGGCTGGTGTTTGGTGTTATTAAAACAATGTCATCAGCAAAGCGGAGGTGGTGTAGTTGCCGACCATCTATCTTCACTCCCATTCCTTCCCATTCCAGTCGTCGCATTCCCAGTGCTCACTTCAGAATAATGCACAGACTCAATTCAGTCCTCAATTCCTGGTCTGTTTTTAGAAATCACATTTCTTTTCCCATTTGTTTGGTTTTTGTTTGGGGGCCACACTCCTGCATGTGCTCAGTGGCTATTCCAGGCTAGCTGCTTCGGGGTCACTCCCAGCAGTGCTGGGGACTCATGTGGCACCAGGGATCAGATTCAGGTCTCCTGCAGGCAAAGCCTGCACACCAATCCTTTGAGCTATCTCCTGGCTCAGAAATCATGTTTTTGCATTTTGTTTTTTCATTGGGGGGGGGGGGCTGTACTTAATGGTGGCACTCAGGGGATTGGAGAGCCAGGCACAGCAATTCTCGGCCAAGGAGTATTTGGTTCAGCACTAGGGCCCAGGATGCAGTATTTTGGAGTCTTTAGGGCCATACTCAGTGATGCTCAGTGGTGGGGCTCCAGGGTCTTATTCAGCCATGCTCAGGAGGCTATGTGGGTGCTGGAGCTCAAATCCAGGTTGTTGCATGCATGCCCTGCTATCCTATGATATCTCCTTATGGAGGTGCTTAAAGGCATATCCCTGTGCAGGTGAGCATGCAGCTGCGCAGTGTACGTGTCCACCTGCAAGTATTTCTAAGGTATGTTGCTGAGTGCTTATGCCCTTTCTCCTAGAGAAATGTCTAGATGATTATAGAGTGCTTTATGTCAGCGGCAGCATGAAGCCAGGCTAGACATTCCGAGTCAATCATTAACAAGTCAATCTGATGCGCTCTCCTATCAGCCCCAGTCCTGGCTCTTCAGGAAACAGGGTTAAAATAATTAGGGTGGAGGCGGACTCTTCCAACTTGGTTCCAGGGCAGTGAGTGCCGTGGAAGACAGGCCTCCGCGGGTCTGACGGATCAGTAGCCAACTCTCTGCAAGGAACATGTGCTCCGGCTAACATGGATACCATTTTGGTTTTCAGCCTGATTATTACATCCTATGATGCCAACAAGAAAGGTAAGTGTAAGAACCTGGAAAATAATATCTAGACTAATATTCCGTCCCTAGCCTAAAAGTCCAAGGAGAATCTAGAAAGTGTTGTTGGGATCTTTTCTACCAACTAGACACACAGCCAACACCTTGCAGGTGACCTCTTAATTCTAAGCAGAGTCATGGCTGAGAAGTCTTCAGAAAAGTGATGCTTCTTGTTGTTGCTGCTGATAAGGAGTTCTATCTCTGTCTGTCTGATGGCATTCTTTCCTGGAGAGTGTTTTCCATCGCCCTTCCATGATCACCCTTTCATGATCCGGGCCAAAGCAATAGTACAGCAGGGTACTCTTGCCTCGCACACAGCTGACCCAGATTCAATTCCCGGCATCCCATATGGTCCTCCGAGCACCACTAGGAATGACTCCTGAGTCCAGAGCCAAGAGAAAGTCCTGAGCATCACTGGGTGTGACCAAAAAGCAAAAAACAAAGATCCCAAGTTCTTAACCCTTCAGATATTATTGTCTTTCAGGCTTCCCTTTTCTTTTCTTTTCTTCCAGCCTCCCCCTTTTTTTCCCTTTTCTTCCAGCCTCCACCTTTTTTTTTTCTTTAGAGGGTTTGGGAGGCACACCCAGCTGTGCTTAGAGTTTACTCAGAGTTTGCTCAGAGTACTGCACTCAGGGATCACTCCTGGTGGTACTTATGGGGAGAAGGTACCATGCCAGAGATGGAACCCGGGTCAGCTGTGTGCAAGGCAAGCGCCCTACCATTTGTACTATCCCTCCAGTCCAGTCTTCCCTTCCCAAGATGGCACATCCAGATCCATGAAGATACTCTCAGCTGGGAGAGCAAAAGGAAACGATGTTACGGGGTAGATAGCACTGCTCACTGCTTCCTGCTTTTTGCTAACTGGATTTAAAATGTAGGGGTTTTTTTTTACCCTAAATTTCCTAAATCCGGGGGCTGGAACAATAGCACAGTGGGTAGGGCGTTTGCCTTGCACGCGGCCAACCCGGGTTTGATTCCCAGGATCCCATACGGTCCCCCGAGCACCGCCAGGAGTAATTCCTGAGTGCAGAGCCAGGAGTAACCCCTTGTATCGCCGGGTGTGACCCAGAAAGCAAAAAAATAAAATAAAATAAATAAATTTCCTAAATCCTTCATCTCTAAAATCATGCAGTTACGTCCAAATAGCCTAAAGTGCAGCAGTGACAAACTTAACAGGTATTAATGATGGGTCAAAAAAGCATAAATAACTTTATGCCCAATGGTTCCATGGAAATACCTCGTTTCCAAGGTGACATTTTACAAAATGTTGATACAAGAAGGCAGGCAGAACAGAAGAGAGATGAGATAATAAACGGTGTTTGGAAGAATGGGTTGGCTAGCTCTCATTGACTAAGTTAACTTCACTGAAGCTTACTTTACCCTGTTCCCCCAGAAGTATACTCAGTTTTCTTTACACAAGCCATAAAACTGGTATACTCAGAAAACTGGTATACTCAATTTTCTTTACACTTCATATCTTCTAACCTGCATTTATTTTATTTTAATTTTGGTTTTTTGGTCACACTCGGCTATGCTCAAGCTCAAAGCTAACTCCTGGCTCTATGCTCAGGGATCACTCCTGGTAGTGCTTGGGGGATTATATGTGGTACTGGGGATCAAACTCAGGTCAGCCATGTGCAAGGAAAGTGCCCCACCTGCTGTACTATCTTTCCAACCCCTTGGATGTATGTTAGAATCTTTTGGGGCATCCGATGTCCCTATATACAAGTTTTATGAGAAGGAACTGCATTTGTTTTATCTTCTTCTCCAGCGTCCAGAATTCTAAAAAAAAAAAAAGCAAGCAGTACCTATCAAATCCTGACCTTTTTCTTCCCCTCTCCAGAACTCAGAGAGAGCAGCTGCCAAGTGGAGCAGTTACCTAGGATCTTCACAAGGGATGCAGAAAGTATAAGAGATGTGCCAGTACAAGGTAGGAATGGGGTCCTGAAAACTCTGCACCATTTCAGAGATGCTGCTCGCCTGTAAAGAAGATCTGTCCATTTCTAGCCCTGATCTCAAATATCCTGTTTTTAAAATTGGGGCAGAACTAAAAATTAGTACAACAGATAGGGCACTTACCTTGCACCCCTGAACCTGCCATGAGTGACCCCAGAGTGTAGCCAGGAGTAGACCCTTGAGCACTGCCAATGTGGCCCAAGCACACACAGAAAAAACTTTTAATTGTATTTCTCTGTCCAATCCCACCCCTCCCACATGGAAGAGACTTCATAAAAATAAAAATATATATACTGTGAGGAAGGGGGTTGGGGGAGGAGGCACACCCAGAGAAGCTCAGGAGTTACTCCTGGTTCTGCACTCGAGGATCACTCCTGGCAGGCTTCAGGGACCATATGGGATACTGGGGACAGAACCCAGGTGGGACCCATGCAAGGCAAGTGCGCTACCCACTGTGCTATTGCTCCAGCTCCTAGAAATTATTTGTTAAATGAACCGTTATCACCTAAGACAAGGGCATACATCAAAACTCTGGCAGTAATGAAAGAGTTGGCAATGGACAGCCCCCCTCCGAGAGAGCCGCAAGAATCCAGAGCATTTCCCTAGGCTTTCTTCGCTGTTGTGAAGTATTTCCAGGGGCTCCCACAACAGACAGGAGAAAGAGTGGACTCGTGAGCATAGGCTCAGCAGGAGTGGCCTGAGAAGGGAAGCAAGGCCAGTAGAGGTGTTTGCTAGGGGGTTCGGGTGGAGCAGGACACCACTCAGATTTAACATTTAACTCCCCTGACATTTCTCCTTTCAGAAACACAGGCAAACGCCGAGAGACCCACGTCCATTCCAAACTGGACAGTGGCTTCACTTCAGTGTTCCGGCTCCGCGGGCGAAGTGAGGGTGAACCTCCTCTACTCGGGGCAAAGGAAGCCGGGCAGGCATGCTCTGCGGAGCCTCAGGGTCCTCGCTGTTCCCCGCACACGCGGCCCAGATTCTCCAACTTGTCACCTCAGCCCTACCTCCAAGTTTTATATGCGATCCTTCCTGAGAGGCACAGGTAAGATGGGAAAATGGAGCCGCAGGCAGGTGCATCCTTCAAGGTGCGTAATGATGCGCGGTGCAGATGAAGACTCCAGGGAACAGGGCAGATCTGGACCAAACCTCTTGGGAGTCTCAGTTTCCTCAACACCCAGGACCCTTCTAGTCCTGACTTCGTGAGCCTCCTTTTCCCTTCATTTTTGGGAATTTTCACATTCAGCAGTGTCTGCAGGGGCACGGCTCCACTCAGCAGTGCTCAGGAATCAGACCCAGAACGAGGCAAGTGTTCTAAGTGTCCTAGCACTGAGAACACAGAGAGCTCAGAGCCACCTCTATGACCCTATGATCTTTAAGTTCACAAGTGCTATCTGATTTTTATTTACTTTCGATGCACACCATAAAATATTCAAACGTAGAGATTAATGATGAAAACTGAGTGTCCTTCCTGTTTCAATATCTCAACCTTGCAGTTCTCTATGTTTTGAGGAAACCACTCTTGCCAACTTACTGATTTTCCTTCCAGCGTTATTCCCTGATTGTGTGGATATATATTTTGAAAAGCACAAAAAAATAGAATACCATATCCACTTGTCTCTGGATTTCTTCCCCCAGTTAGCAATGTATCATGCTCCCTATTAATCGGTGCAATTTGTATCATTCCTTTTAAAAAAAAAATGATCCATGGAAAATTGTCTCATTTCTTTTAACAGCTGTGTAGGATCTCATTGTATGGCTGAACTACAATTTATTCCACCAATTCCCTATTGATGAATATTTTGGATGTTTCTGGTATTTTATAAATACAAATAATTTGTAAAGTTGTTCTGTGAACAGTGAACTTATATATTCTTCCGCTGCGTACCTTTAATTTAGCAAGAGATTAAATTTCAAGAAGGACAGTTGCATCGAATTTTGATAGGCCTTGCTTCATCACCCTCAGCAGTGGTGGCTCCATTCCACACTCTCACCCTCAACCTACGACAGTGCTGTTTCCACAGCTGCTGAGCGTGTTTGTCTTTGTTAGTTTTTGTGTCCCGGCCACATCTGGTGGTACACAGGGGCTACTTCCTCTAGTGGTAGGAGGTCATTCCCGAGCTCTTTTTGTTTGCTTTGGGTTTGGGGGCCACTCCCAATGATGCTCAGGGATTACTCCTGGCTCTGAACTCAGGAATTACTCCTGGGGGTACTCAGGGGACCATATGGGATGCCCAGGATGGAAGCCAGGTTGCCTGTGCAAGGCAAGCCCCCTACCTGCTATATTTAGCTCTGGCCCCGAGCTTTTTATTTTGTTTCGTTTTTGTTTTCAGAGCACAAGGGCTTGGGGGAACATATGTGCATTTAATCCAGGTTGGTCACAGGCAATGCAAGACAATGTATGTACCTTAACTGCTCTACTACCTCTCTCTTCTCTAATTTTACTCTCCTTTTCTTCTACCCATTTTGTTTTTCCACACCTGGCCATAGTCAGGGCTTCTCCTGGCTCTGCACTCAGGAATCACTCCTGGCGGTGCTCAGGGGACCATACAGGATGCCAGGAATTGAACCTGGGTCAGCCACATGCAAGGCAAGTGCCCTACGCACTTACTATCTCTTCAGCCCCACCCCTATTCATTCTTTCTGTCAGGTTGTTATGAGCAATAAATGGGCACTATTTGTCCTCCTCCACATAGAGACAATCTCCGAGTGCTTCTGCTGCACCATTTGAAAATAAAGTCTATTGAGATAAACTGGAGGTGCAAAAGCAGAATAATGGGGGAAAATCTCAAATTCTACATTTGGTTTTGAGTAGCAGAGATTGGGACATATGTAGACGGGTTCTTGGGCTGTGACCCAGATATACGAAAGTATGTATCTTCACATGAAATGTGCTCCCTTTAGTATACTTTATAAAGTCAATATGTGATCATTTATGGGAAAATGTAGGTGGTAATTTTTCTATTTGGGGGAGGAAGGGAAAACCCAGCAGTGCTCAGAGCTACTCCAAACTCTGTACTCAGGTGTTGCTCCCAGTGGTGTTCATGAGACCACATGTTACGGTATGAGGACTGAACCCATGATGCAATGCACATTCAGCCCACTGAGCTATGTTTCTGATCTGGAAAAAAAGTCTCAAAAACTAGAAAAGCCTCCGAGTGCGGCTGGAATGATCATGCAGGATGAAGGCATTTGCCTAGCAGTACGGTCAATCCTTGGCATTGCATAAAATCCTCTGCCACCAGGTGTGTCCCTGAGCACATCTGTGTGTGGCTCAACCCCATCTCCCCAGAAAGCAACAACCTAAAAGCCTCTGACAGGTTTGAGATCTTTTTGGTTTTTTTTTGGGGGGGGGGGCACATCTGGTGGTGCTCAGGGGTCACTCCTGGCTCTGTTCTCAGGAATTACTCCTGGAGGTGCTTGGGGAATCATATGGAATGCTGGGAATCCCTGAGCACTGCTGGGTATGGCTCACCCCCCCCCCCACCAATGCCCTACTTTAAAGTCTTAAAAAACAACATTTGAAATGAACTATTGAAATCACAAACTAAAGATGTGAAAATGCCTGTTCTGAATTTAAACTTCCACTGAGTCCCAGGATGTGCTTGGCTCCAATAGGATAGAAACAAAAAATAAGGATCTTTATAAATTCATAAGAGAAATAAATACTCTCTGAGGTTACCACACTTTGTGAGTGACATTCTTCCCCACAGAAAGATGTCCAAGAAATAGTCACCTTTCATGGAAATGTCCCCAGAATAAATGAGGACTTTGAAACTGTAAGGGTAAGAATGTTCTGCTACAGAGTTGGCCAGCAGAAAAATGTGTATCCACATGGATGTAGAAAAACATAGCATGGATACTGTTACTTTTATGGGCTTACCAGAGATCCTCTACAATAAACATACTGAAACTGCCTTCTGGATGAGAAAGATGACTCATTAGGATTTTGTCACTTATATATACTTGATATCATCTAGTTTCTATTGCTCAAATTCCATATTAATCAATAAATTAAGCATATGCTTCGAATTATGCTTTAGACTTCAAGGGAACCTTTATCATGCATTTTTCTGATGCCAGGGATTGAACCTACATTCTTTTTTTTTTTTTAATTTTTTTATTTTTTATTTATTTATTGAATCACTGTGGGAAAGGTTACAAAGCTTTCAGGTTTATGTCTCAGTCATGCAAATATCAAACACATTTCCCTTTACCAATACTTATTTTTTACCATGAAGAACCCCAATAAAACCCCACCTCCCACCCCTCCCCATCCCTGTGAGGCAGATGAATTCTAGTTAACACTCTATCTGCTTTGATTAGATTCATTGTTTCAATAAAAGATTCACCACTATTATTTAGAGTTTACCCCCCCCAAATCAGACATGCTGAAAAAGCATTGTGAAGTGATTTGCTTTCTACAGCTGGGTTCAAGAATTAAATGTTGGTTTTGGATTTCTGCTATTTTACCTATTGACCCTGGAAGTATTTCTACTGAAAGTCAGATAGTTAAGAAATTGGTTTCTGTGTTCTGGAGTCGTGGCCGTGCTGGAGAGTCGCTCGTGGGGGCAACTGGTGGCCTCGGTAGGGCGTGAAGGGCGGACTGAAACGCCCCCCTTCCCATGAGGTTTTAGTCGCCCCCACACTCCCGGCTCATACCTGCTGTCCACAAGGCTCCCATGCGGCCGCCATCTTTCTTTCCAGAGAGGAGAGGGCGAATGGGGCAACACCCTTTCCCCTCCGGCAGACTTGATGGCCTGGATCAACGCATAGTCTGTTCACTTTTCTGCTCCAAGCTGCTGGGTTCTGCATTAAGTCCTTGTGCTTCTGGGGCCGTGGCTGTGCTGGAGAGCCGCTCGCGGGGGGCGACTGGTGACCTCGGTAGGGCGTGAAGGATGGACCAGAACGCCCCCCGACCCATGAGGTTTTAGTCGCCCCCACACTCCCGGCTCATACCTGCTGTCCACAAGGCTCCCATGTGGCCGCCATCTTTCTTTCCAGAGGGAGGAGGGCGGAAGGGAGCAACACCCTTTCCCCTCTGGGCAGAAATGATTGCCTGGATTAACGCATAGTCCTTTCACTTTTCTGCTCCAAGCTGCTGGTGAACCTACATTCTTACAAATGCAAAGCAAGTGCTCTTCTGCTGAATGCATCTCATGATAAACTATGGAATCATCCCATGATGAGTAAACTTATGTCTACAACAGGGTATTAGAAGGGAAAAAATTCCTTCTGATCCTTTGGTCAGATTCATTCTGTGAAATTCTGGTGGGGGTGTTTCAGGGCATGCCCAGAGTTGCAAGGGAGTTGTTGTACTTGGGTGTCACTCTGAGGACCATGCAGTGCCAGGAATCAAACTGGGATTGGCCACATGTAAAGCAAATCCTTGTCCATTATACTATCACTCCAGTCCCATATTTTTAAAAAAATGTTTTTTGTTTTTGGTCCATACCCAAAATTTTTTGTGGTGCTCAGGGCTTACTCCTGACTCTAGGCTGAGGGATCACTCCACGTGTTGCTCAGGGGACCATATGGGATATTGGGGGTCGAACCTGGGTTGGTTGCATGCAGGGCAATAATGCCCTACCCTTGTACCATGACCCTGGTCTCCAAGTGTCACTCTGGACTTAAAATTTTGGATTTAGACTATGATATATTTATTTTTTTATTTATTTTACACCCAGAAATGCTCCGGGGTTACTCCTGGCTTTGCACTCAGGAATTACTTTTGGTGGTGCTTGGGGGACCATATGGGATGCCGGGGATTGAACCCAGGTCGACCGCATGCAAGGCAAACGCCCTACCCACTGTGCTATCACTCCGGCCCAGACTATGGTATATTTAAACTAGTGATTAGTCTCCTTGGAATTAGGACAGTGTTAAAAATATGTGGTTTTGTTTTGTTTCTTAACCACGTTCAGTGGTGTTGGGGGAGAGGGATCCACTCCACATGCAAGGAATATGCTTAATCCCTGAATTCTGCCCCCAGCCCACCAAAAAAGGATTTTTTTTCTTTTTGGATTTTTGGGTCATACACAGTGA